ACTCTTTAATACTCCCCCGCAAGCCCAACGTATTTTTTAGGTTGAGCTTGTCCTATTTTTTTAGCCCAGACACCGCCTCACGTTTCAGCTCTATTTTTTTGTTGGCTTTTTGGAGTCCGAATGTTGGCGGGCTGGCTCTGATACCATACAGAAGCCCATGGGGTTCCACCTCAAAACCAATTAGCAATGAGGGGAGTAGCCCATGAAGCTTATATATTGATACTCAGAGTCTCCCAATACCGATGTGGGATTGGGACTCTTTTGATTTCCTTTGTAAACCGAATACATCAAATGCCTTTTTATAGGCTTAGTTTACATATATGATAATTATGTAAATTAACTAATTTTATTTAAGTGATAAAGATAAGTAATTCACTTGAAATAACCAACTAGATGAAACTAATCTAAGACTTCTAATTCCTTTGTGCTTTATCTCTTAACATTCCCCCGCAAACTGTACCGGGACTGAAGGATTGAGGGCTGAAGGCGCAGTTTGTTGTAGAATAGAGTCTACTGGATGGATTGCTTGAAACTTGATTCTGAGCTTGTTGTGAAGGTCTTATATTATGGATCTGGATCCAGATTTGTGAAGCTGCAATAAAAAAATAAAAAATAAAAATTTTGTATTGTGGCAGATTACCAATGTCACACAATCTTGGTTTGAAAGTGTGAATGTAATCTCCAATGACCATGTTGCCATTTTTTTGTGGAGATATGTGAATTTTTCTAATAATTCTCCAAAAAATGTGTACTTCATTTTTGAGTACTTTTCGGAGAACTATATATGTAAAAAACAATGACAAGTCCAAGGAATTTTCTCAGACTTTTGCCATGATTGAAATTTTTTGAGTGGATTCAGATGAGACTCTTCTTCTTTTTTTTTTTTTTTTTGGTGGTGATGAATGAAATTGGAGGATGAAACAATGGTTGAGTTGTGAGGTAACCGATAGGTCCTTGGCTCTGTGCGGGAATCTCTCCGCATGAATAATTGACTGGAGAGAATTTTAGAATGATAAAATTTTGAGTATCGATGAACAGAAATGCAGAAGTCATGATTAGACATATATGCGGAAGCTAAAAAAACCTTCAGACGCAGGATAGAACCTGCTCTGATACCAAGAAGAAAATTGGTATTTTATTTAGAAAAATAAAATCGGAGAATAAACTAATGGAGTGAAAGACTACATTTTTTATTTCCTTTGTAAACTGAATACATCAAATGCCTTTTTATAGGCTTAGTTTACAAATATGATAATTATGTAAATTAACTAATTTTATTTAAGTGATAAAGATAAATAATTCACTTGAAATAACCAACTAGATGAAACTAATCTAAGACTTCTAATTCCTTTGTGCTTTATCTCTTAACATATAACACAAGAGACCTTCTTTATTACGAGCAAAAACTGAAATTATTTTTTACTGTGTCGCGGAAATAGTTACCAGACAGGAAATATATGTATCGTATGCAGTAAAGAATTTTTAACTAACTTGTCTTTAGGTTTTTGCCCTTTTTTTTCATCACGAGAGAGATTCTTGATTCTTCGGAGGTGTCCCCAAAGTCCAAATCCATGGCTGACAGCGGCCAAATCATGGGAACGTCGGAATCGCCAGATGAAATCATGCACACTATTCTGTCTTTTCTCACAAACAAAGAAGCAATTCAGGCAGGCAGTTTATCCAAGGAGTGGTACAGGGCACTTCGGACCCTTCCTGTTTAGTTTCTCGATTTGGATCAAGACCGATTCCCGCCAATTAGGCGGCTCAAAGAAAGGTTCAATTCTGAACTCAATTACATTCATTCCACTTTGCAAAGGTACCTCCATGATGATAATATTGTTCCACACACTTTCAAACTGAATGTTGGTGTTAACGAAGTTTCTTCTCTCGTCACTCAATCCATCATAATTGCCGTGGGAAAAGGTGTGAGAAACCTCTCTTTTTTCAGTAAAATATACTATTTACTTGTTTTGCCTGATACGGTTTTAGAAGCCAACTCCCTAGTTGAATTGAGTTTAAGGGGTTCCTGTTTGAAGTATCATCAGAGATTAATGTGGCATCATCTCAAACGTCTTTGTCTGAACAGAGTAAAATTAGATCAATTGTTGTTGGATGACATACTCTTGAGCTGCCCTTTGATTGAATCCTTGGTCATTTCTGGCTGTTCGATTTTGAACCAAGTTGTTCCTGATAAAAGCTCTAAAGAGTTGCCTGGATTGGGCTCATGGTTTTATGTGCCAGCACACCTTATGTGCCAATGTCTGAGGAGTTTATCGATTTCTCATATGAAAATTGATGACGAATTTTTCACCGATTTGTCACATAAATTTCCTCACCTTGAAGATCTGTCCATCACATGCTGCCCATGTTGGTGTTTGAAAAAGATTAGAATTTCAAGTGGCTCCCAAAAGAATCTAAAGATTGAAAATAACTTTGATTTTGAAGAGGCGCAATTTGACGTGCCTAGCCTTGTTCTCTTTGAATATAAAGGATCTATCAAGCCGAGGATTTAGTTTAGAGCTGCCTCGACTAGATTGACATCTCGCGTCAACAGTAGAAGCTTTCGAACATGGACTTTCCATGGTTTTTGAAACTGAAGGAATTCCTTACAAGGCTAAATCTTTCTGAACTTCGTGTTAGTTTTCACTTTGACCCTGAAGTGTGTACTTTTGAAGTGCCAGAAAAAGATGACACTTCTTTTGAAGTTGAAGACATTGATGAATTTTCTGTCATGGGATCGTCTAAGCCTCGAAGCCAGCAAGAATATGTTGCATTAGCTCTTGCAATCATCAACGGCATCTTCTGGACTTGTCGCCCTCGTGTGATAACAACAGAATGAGATGTGCATCAGCAAGGATTTGCAGAGTCATTGTACAAGATACTTGTGTTCGAAGAGAAGCCAGACAATCTGGGTCCACCAAACGGTAAGACCAGTTGGCAGAGCAGGTTGAAAGGTATTGAGATATTCCCTTCCAAACTAGGTCGCCGGGGTAAGCAGTTGGACAAAATGCTGGATTGGAAGGACTTCTCAAAGGTATTAAAAGCTCAAAATCATTCAAAATTACTGTTGCTTTCACCTTGGAGTGGTGGCGAACAACATATGCATTCCCCGACAAGCTCAGAACAGTTTCATACCACTCTGCGCTCAACATGGTTTGGGCCTGAATTTGGTAGATCCCTTTTCCTTTTTTTCTTGGGTCATTCATAGTCATGTTTGTTTTCCTACATCCACACCAAAAACTCTACCATTTAGATAATTTACCCACCAGATTAAATGACATGTTTGTGTTCAGAGATGAAGCTTATTATTTCCGTTCACCATACATTCTCTGTTTTTGTTTTCATCAATATTCATGGATTCATCCCTCACCGTCGTCTTCTTTCCCACGTTGAGAACAAAATAAAATAAGCTGTTCAATAGCAAGTCACAACCACCAGAAATGAAGTTAATCTAAATGGCTACCTCAACGCCAGTTAATACAGCGCTTATACTCATAAAGTTCTCGATCTTTATTTGTATGTCATTATAAACGAAAAACAACATGTAGAACGAGCTCAAAAGATAAAACGAAAAATGATAGTACAATTATCTTAATTAATTTGATCATGAAAACTTATTGCCGAATTTTGTGCAAGGACATTCCTAAATGTTCTTAAGTCATTGGATGCTCTCTCAAGACAGCCACTTTAGATCTTCAGTTTGTAGGTTAAGTATGAATGGTATAAATAATGATAACCGGCCATATGCCCATAGAGCAGTAAAAATTGAGTGATAAGTTCGGTCAACATCAATTTTTATACCAGTCTTAGATTCGGTTTTTCTATATTATAGGACCTGAACTGTGAGAAACGTTTCAGACACTGATACTTATACTTACGTGGGACAAAGAATATAAGAAAGTACTGGCTGAAGTGGACAATAAGGTATTCATTGTAACGGTGAAAAGGGAGTGAGGTGATACTCAGGATTCTGGATTGACAGTGGCATTTGACAGTTATTGAGTAGGGCTGGATAGTCGCATTACATCATGAATGCCTGGAGGTGAATTTTATACTCCCTCCGTCCCATAATTATTCTCCAGTTTTACTAAAATGAAAGATTTTATTTTTTATCAAACTTAACTATATTTTACCTTAAATAACCGGATATACCCCTATATAAGTAATTGTTTAACCACTAAGATTTTATGGATAATATTTTTTACTAAGGACAAATGTGTAACTTGATCCATAAAAAGTTAAATTGGACAATAATTTTGGGACAAAATTTTTTGGGCAAAGTGGACAATAATTATAAGACGGAGGGAGTATCAAACTATTTGCCATCTTTGGCTATGCAAACACCGAATGGAATTACGAAGTAATCTTTTGTTAGATAGATCGTTCATTCCTTTGCTAAAGAGTTGACGTGTTTAGTCAAGCTATGTTTAACCTTCACATTATATATTAAAAAAATGACCAAGTAGACGTAGACCATGTGTTGATCACAACGTAATTAGGACAACGTATCCTGAAAATCTGACAGCATAGTTGATAGCGTGAACTTTTTATTATAACCAACAAAATAAACTTTGAGCGTAAATTGATATCACAACTAAATTTTGTCTAGGAAGTTCTTAAAACATTTGCGTTTAACAATTGTTAGCTTTTACACCAGTATTGCTATTCAATTTTTTTCCTGAACAGCTAAATATGAGAGCCGATTCCTATCTGTAAGACTATAACTGATGAATTATTGACTAGATCATTCCGTCAGCGAACAATAACATATTTCACTATCTATGTAAGTTAAATAAGCATATCAACAAATAATATTGGCGTAATGATATATGTATATTCATCAACATAATCATTTTCAATATTTTACCAAAAAGGAAAGATAAAGAATAAAAAAAAATACAGTACATCGTTTGGCGTAGCCCTAAGCTTCCTATCAAACGCGAGACTTGCAAAGTCTTCTTCGGAGCATCAAGCCAAATCAGCTACGTATCTCAAAATCCATGGCGGACTGCGGCAAAATCCCATCAATATCGGAATTGCCAGAGGAGATTATGCACAAAATACTGTCTTTCCTCAGAAACAGAGAAGCAATCCGGGCAGGCAGCTTATCCAAGGACTGGTACAGAGCATTTCAGACCCTTCCAAATTTGGTTTTTGATCGGAGAGCAATCGACTTCTACGAGGAGCTAACAGGTTCAGGCGGCGAGCGGGTGATCAAAAGGCTCCGAAGCGAACTCAATTACGTTATCTCTACTCTGCAAAGGTACTACCTTGGTCCCAATATTGTTCTAAACACTTTCAAATTGGAATTGGATTGGTCCGAATTGGATTGGTCTAAATTGGATTGGTGGGATGATAATTGCATCTATGAATGCATCATAATTGCTGCGGAAAAAGGTGTGAGAAATCTACATTTTTCCAATGGAGGAGTAAGTTTATTCGATTTGCCTGTGAAAGTTTTAGAAGCCAGCACCCTAGTTGAATTGAGTCTAGGGCGTTGCCGTTTGAAGTATCATGAGACATTAATGTGGCCAAATCTCAAACGTCTGTGTCTGGACAAAGTTGAATTAGATCAGCTGATGTTAGATAACATACTTAGGAGCTGCCCTTTGATTGAAACTGTGGACATCTGTTTGTGCTCAATTTCAAACAAGCCTTTACTTCCAGATCAGACAACTGGGATGGAAGCAACGCCTGATCCTGAATTTTGTTCAGGGTTTCATTTGCCCGTATCTCAATGCCAAAGTCTGAGGAGTTTATCAATTTCTCTTATGGAGATTGATGACAATTTCTTCATCGATTTGTCGCATAAATTCCCGCATCTTGAACATCTGTCAGTCGAACAATGTCAGACCTTGCGAACATTCAGAATTTCAAGTGGCTCCCTAAAGAAACTAAAGCTGGCATATATTCTTTTATCAGAGGTACAATTTGATTTGCCTAGCCTCGTTCTCTTTGAATTTGAAGGGTTTCGCATCCCGTGGATTTCATTTACAGCAGCCTCTGGTAGATGGACTTCTCGCCTCACCATTTGTTGCGACGGAATCATAGACATTTCATGGTTTTTGAAATTGAAGGAATTCCTCAAAAGCCAGCATAGGTCCGAACTTCGTGTTACTGTTTACTTTGAAGATAATGTAGCTTTCAAATTGGATGAAGTGTCAACAGATGTCGAAGTTGAAGAGATTGCAGAATTTTGTATCCTGAGTTGGGCAAAACTCCAGCCCGCAGATTATGGAGCATTAGCTCATAAAATCATGGATGGCATCTTTTGGACTTGTCATCCTCGTGTGATAACAACGGAATGGTATGAGTATCGGCTTGGATATACAGAGTCAATCTACAAGATGCTAGTGTTGGAAAATAAACCATGTCATTTCTGTTCATCAAAAGGTAATTTTTGGCGGAGCAGGTGTGAAAGTATTAAGATATTCGATTACGAACTGGGACTGTGTATGCTGCTGGACGAAACTTTAGACTGGAATGGATTTTCAGAGGTATTAAAAGCTCAAGATTGTGCAAAAGTCACCGTTAGCTTCAACTTGGAGTGGAGAACTTGTGAACTCCCTGAAATGCTCCAGAGTGAACTCTGAACAGGTCAAGTTTATGAGTTTTAATTCATGGATTTCTTTAGCAGAGCTGTTTGCATGTCCTTATATGTCTTAAAAACAGAGTTTTTGAAGTCTTTTGCAGTATGTAATAAAATAGCAAAAGTGGGAACGATTACCTCACTTCATCTGAATCAGTGCACGTAATTCCTTTTCTTCTTTACTACAGACGCTCAATCTTCAACCGCCATCTTGATTTCCAAAACACAGAGAAAATGAGAATCGAATCTTGGTTTTACGCTGAAAAAGTGAGGAAGAATGGTAGATTGCAGTTTGATGTCGAGTTTCCGAGGTTTTTCTAGATTTTAGTCTGCTAATTTGCTTCTAGAACGTATCGTTGTTATTGCTTTCTTTTCAGGACCACAGTAGTTTTTGATAAAGCATTCATTATAAACTAATCGAATTTGGCACTCATAACTGAAAATTCAGGCTCGAAGCACGAAGAGTTCCAAAATGGTCCCTCACATTGTGATGATTTTTTTTGTAAGGTATACTTTCTCTGCTTCGGCCAAAATTGAAAGATAGATCCAGACGAAGTATGCTGGACTAGCTCTTTGGTGATTACGTACAAAGTTTTTTTTTTTTTTTTTCAGCATTATCAGGGAAAAATATGGCTAAATAAATGAGACATTGATCTTTAGTAAGCGACTAACTATGCATTTAGTACGAAATAGGCAAGTTTAAAGTAGTCAGCCTAGTCTTTCCATGCACACAGCCATAAGTTGAGTAGCTCTTTTTGCTGGTATTTGCCCAATATCAAGGACAAAGTTGTCAGAATCACAAGGCAATATTCTACCAGCATAAAAGAACTTGGAAGAAGTCGAAGTACTCGCGAAAGTGTTGATTGGATTCAATTCCCAATCTCTGCACCTATATATGATGTGTTGAGTGACATTAGGAATACGAATGCTTTTCAAAGAACAGTGGATTCGTTAATTTGTTTTTTCGTCATTGATTCAAGAACAATTCGTAGGGTACTGAAGGAAGATAAGTCACGGTGGTTCGTCGTCCTGAGTCCATTGAACTAATAAACTCAATTTCCAATTGATGGTTTAGTTCGCCAAAACTAATGAACTCCATATGTGAATACATTATCACTATTTTTCATTTAAAAAAAACCTCTTAAAACATTATCTTAGTAATTTGGAATTAAGAAAACTCAAATAAGATATACTATACAATACTCCCTCCAATCCTTAATATAAGTCATTTTGATTTGTTCTAAGTTTCACATAATACACATTTTTAAATAACAAAAAAATGTTAAATATATTTTCTAACAATCAAGATAGTACAATGAATGTAAAAATGTATTTTTAAGTTTTTTTTTTTTGAAAATGCATACTAAGTGAAATCTGCAGATGAGATGTGCTAGACCTTCATTATGTATTAGAGACGTGCGCAGCAGTCGAGACTTGATTTGATAACTTTTGCGCTTTCACTTATTTCCCGCCGTTTCGTTTTACGTTCTTGAAAGCTTACATACTTCGAGAACTGTACGACCATTTGCAAATGAAACATTGAAGAAAAGCATTAGGTATATGCTCTTGAAATATATGGCTATCCTTTTGATTATACGTACATATTGTTGACATTTTGTCCTTCTGGAAAGCTTGTTGCTTCCGTTCATTGTTGTACCTCATACAATTTGGTCATTTTTGTAATGTATTATGTCGGACATTTAGATTGATTTTATTATTCAGTTATGGATACGGGGCTCAGTTTTTTGTATACTATGTGGATGCAGAGGGCCTCTTTATGTGTTGCTACCTGACATGATTCTCCGGTGCTTCGAGGTGATCTCTCTATGTCGATTCTTTAACGCGGAGAATTTCTTTATTCATCTTGAGAGTTTTGTTGGTCATAGTGTATGTTTTTAGGCAAATCTTGGCTAATATAAATGCAGGGATATTGTGGTTGTCCAACCAAATTAATATTGATACCTATATGATTGATATTTGATTGTCCAGCAGATTGTCCAACCAATTTGCATAAACCATAACGAAATTATTTATAACGCACAATGGAAATCAAATAACGAAATTATACACATATATATATATATATATATATATATATATATATTCACCATCGCATAAATCTTTTACCAAAAAAACAAAAGAAGTAGAAATAAAAGTAAAAAAGTACACTATCGAACGCGAGACTTCTCAGAGTTATTCTTGTTCAGTACATATCTCCAAACCCATGGCGGACTGCAGAAAAATCCCGTCACCTGAGTTGCCCGATGAAGTCATGCAAATAATTCTGTCTTTCCTGACTAACAAAAACGCAATCCGGCAGGAAGCTTATCCAAGGATTGGTACAGGGCATTCCGCACCCTCCCGAATTTGGTTCTCGATTGGGGATCAATCGATGAAGAGAATGTAAAACGGTCCAGGTCATGAGCGGCTGATGAACTGTCTCCGAAGCGAACTCAATCACATTGTCTCCACTTTGCAAAGGTACCAACTTGATCATAACATTGTACTACACACTTTCAAATTGGTTTCGGGTTGGTCCAAATTGGATTGGCCAGATGATAATGTTGTCACTGAATGCATTATACTTGCCACGAGAAAAGGTGTGAAAAACCTGTTTTTGTCAAATTGGAAGAAAAATTTATTTGATTTTCCCGAACCAGTTTTAGAAGCCAACTCCCTAGTTGAACTATTTCTAGAGAATTGCCGTTTGAAGTATCATGAGAGAGTAATGAGGCCAAATCTCAAACGCCTGTCCCTTGACAGAGTAGAATTAGATCAAATGATGTTGGATAATATACTCAGCAGCTGCCCTCTGATTGAATACCTGGAAATCTATTTTTGCTCAATTTTGAACCTTCACAAACCAAGTGTCAACAAAACAACTTTTCCAGAATCCTTCATGAGATTTGGTTCGTGTTTCTATTTGCCAGAATCTCAATCCCAATGTCTGCGGCGTCTATCTATTACTGTTATCAAACTTGATGCCGAATTGTTCATGGAATTTTTGCATATATTTCCACATCTTGAAGATCTATCCATCATGTCGTGCAACCGCTTGAAAAGACTTAAGGTTTCAAGCAGCTCCCTAAGAATATTAAAGCTTTCATATAACATTGAATTAGAAGAGGCGCAACTTGCCGTGCCTAGCCTTGTTCTCTTTGAATATAATGGAGATGTAGGGCCGAGGTTATCATTTACAAACGCCCCACCTAGATGGACATCTCGCCTCAGTATAAGTCACCATGAAAAGGTAGGCGCTTTATGGTTTTTGAAGTTGAAGGAACTCCTTAAAGGACTTTGCAGGTCTGAACTTCACCTTAAGATTCTCTTTGACATTATAGATAATGCAACTTTCCATTTTGATGAAGTGACAATAGGGGCCACACTTTTTGAAGTTGAAGAGAACACAGAATTTTGCGCCACGAGTTCGCTATCTTCACAAGTCCAGCCTGCGGATTGTAGAGGATTAGCTCAAACAATCATCGATGGCATCTTCTGGACTAGCCGCCCTCATGTGATATCAACAAAATGGGATCGGCATTGGGTTGGTTATACAGAGTCAATGTACAAGTTGCTGGTATTAGGAGACAAGCCATACTATTTCCGTTCAGCACAAGGCAAGGTTTGGAAGAGCAGTTTGAAAGGTATTGGGATATTCCATTATAAACTAGGTCGCCTGGGTATGAAGTTGGACAAAATGCAGAATTAGAATGACTTTTTGAAGGCATTAGAAGCCCAAAATCAGTCAGGCATTTACTGTTTGCTTCAACTTGGAGTGGGTAACTTGCACCATTCCGGCCCGACATGCTCCTGAAAGCCCCCTGAATAGTTTATGGTAAATATGAATCTGGGCAGCATAGTTAAAGCTGAATATGACATATGTTTTGTGTTTTGGCCTTGTTGGCCTACAGGAACAACTAGTAATCCGCTTGTTCACAGACCTTGGCTTCTTTTCTTTTGTTCTTCAGCGTTGTACTATTGTAAATTGATCTCTCAGTAATGCATCCCAATGTCTTCAGTGACAACTTGTCTAAGTGGAGCTTCTTTCCTTGTCCTTTCCTTTAACGTCCATAGGATCTTCTGCTGCGATTCGGCGCAGGGTTTACGGCGTTGCCAATCTGCCATTATTTTTCTTTGATGCAGCATGGCTGTTGTAGCAAAACTCAAGTGCAGTAGGGAAATCTGATTTCACATCTATTCTCTAACATCAAAGCTATACCGCAGATGACAAATATGTTGGGAGGCGAGGACCAAATATGGCAAACCAAACTAGCTAATCAAACACGAGCTAGCTTAAGCACAGCGGAAACAAATCAAGGCCTCCCCAATTTGCAAGAATCTAGTAGGAGTGAAAATACCAACTACACCAACTGGAAGTAAAGCTACCAATAAAACAACAAGAAAGCAAAACAACACACAACACCAATTTACGTGGAAAACCCCCTTCGGTGTGAAGGAGTAAAAACCACGAGACCAAAAGGCCTATCAAATTCACTAATCACCAAATAAGAGTAGGAGTGCCTCAATCCAACAATACAACAACGATATCTAGTCATCACCCAAGCTAAACAAGCTACAAAGGCACTATAATATCAATACAAGATCAAAAGATCAACTAAGCATCCACAAAACCAGCAGCAACTTCAAAAGTACAATGCTCACAATCTTGCCGACGAACACCAAAACCTTTTGGTGGAAATGAAGATCAATGAGTCTTGTAACCCCAGTCCAAATTTCAGGACTAACGGACAAAGATTACCCCTCTAAACTTGAAGATTTCAGACGCTGCTACAGTGGAACCCTTGCTGGAATTTTCAGCTCCTTCTCACTCTTTTGTTCTGTTTTTCCATAAAATGGCAGTTCTCTCACATTTCATTTTGGCTGCATTTTACTCTCTTATAGTGGACTCAAGGTGGGCTGATGACATAACAAGAATTTGGGCCAGAAACATGGGCTATTTGTCCTTTGCATTGGACACATAGTTGGGAGCCCACCCAAATAATCTCCTCCCTCCCGACTATGTGGAGGAAATTGCCATCCTGGAAATGGCACAACAAACTTTAAACTTACATCTTGGCAAAACCTTAGTCATCATATCAGCCCCATTATCATCCGTGTGAACTTTCTCAAGTCAAACAAACTTTTCATCCAGCACATCACGTATCCAATGATACCTCACATCAATGTGCTTGGACTTAGAATGAAAAGTAGGATGCTTACCAAGATGAATTGTACTTTGACTATCACAAAGTAAAACATACCTCTTCTGAGAGCAACCAAGTTCTCTCAAGAACCTCTTCAAATACAACAACTCCTTGCATGCTTCAGTAGCTGCATGAACTCGGTTTCAGTTGTTGATAGAGCAACACACTTCTGCAACCTAGATTGCCAAGAAACAGCTCCCCCTGCAAAAGTAGTCAAGTAACCTGAAGTGGATCTTTTGGTGTCAACATCTCCAGCCATGTTAGAACCAGTGTAGCCAATGAGAACTGATTCACCACCTCCAAAACAAAGATTCAAGCTTGAGGTGCCACAAATATATCTCAAAATCCACTTGAATGGATTCCAATGCTCTCTTCCAGGCTTGGAAAGAAACCTGCTCACTACACCAACTGCATGAGCAATATCAGGTCTTGTACACACCATCGCATACATCAAACTACCAACAGCAAAATAATAAAGAACATTCTTCGTTTCTTCCTTTTCTTCATTTGTAGAGGGACTCTGCTTAACACTAAACTTCATGTGTGTCGCCAAAGGAGTACAAACAGGTTTAGCCTTGTCCATTCTAAACCTGTCAAGTACTTTCTCAATGTACCTCTCTTGTGATAGCCATAACTTTCTTGCTTTTCTGTCTCTAGATATGCTTATTCCAAGGATTTCCTTTGCTAGCCCCAAATCCTTCATATCAAAAGACTTGCTCAACTCTTGCTTCAACCTGTCAATCCTAGAAGCATTTTGATCAACAATAAGCATATCATCAACATAAAGCAATAAAATGATAAAGTCATCATGGGAGGATTTCTGAACAAATACACAATGATCACAAGTAGTCTTCTTGTAGCCCTGCTGCCTCATCACAGACTCAAACTTCTTGTACCATTGTCTTGGAGCTTGTTTCAGGCCATACAAGCTCTTCTTCAACTTGTACACATAGTCCTCTTTATCTTTCACCTTGAACCCTTCAGGTTGTTCCATGTAAATTTCTTCATGCAAGTCACCATGAAGAAATGCAGTCTTCACATCCATTTGCTCAACCTCTAAGTCAAGGCTTGCAGCCAGCCCTGACACAGTCTGGATAGAAGACATCCTCACAATAGGTGAAAAAATCTCATCAAATTCAGCACCCTTCTTCTGACTGAAACCCTTCACAACCAATCTGGCCTTGTACCTTGGTTTGGAAGAATTCTCTTCTTGCTTCAGTCTGTAGACCCACCTATTCTTCAAAGCTCTCTTACCCTTAGGTAATGGCACCAACTCAAAAGTATGATTATCATGCAAGGATTTCATTCCATCTTCCATTGCATAAAACTACTCCTGCTTGTCTACACCTTCCATGGCTTTTTGAAAGCACTCAGGTTCGCCCCCATCAGTCACAAGGACATACTCATCATGAGAATACCTAGTAGAAGGTTGTCTCTCTCTAGTAGACCTTCTGAGTTCCTGTGGATCATCATTTTTAGGATTATGCAAGTTCTCACCTTGCTGACCATCAGCAAAATCATCATGTTGCATCTCATTCTCACTGGTAAAACCACCAGCTGTAGTAGGCACATGTGGTATAGGCTTTGGATCAATGATGGCATTGCTGATCTTTTGAGATCAGCATCAATCAAGGACGAAGCGGAATTGATGAAGGTCATCGGAAGTCTTTTCCCGCAACTACCTTCTTCGTACCAAATTATGAGCGGCACAAATATTGCACTACCATTGTCCATAGGCGACCGTACTAATAACACTAATGTAGAAATTACCATTCCAGTGCGAATGAACCAGAATAGTACTTACGAGATAATTACCGCTCCATCGCCTACTTCCAAAACTCCAAATGGTGGAGGACATCCAAAGACGGCGGCAAATCGATAGAAAGAGATGGCTTGGAAAAGAAGGGTAATGTTCGAGAAAAGAAGCCCAGGGCGATTTGGACTCAAGAACTGCACGAGAAGTTTTTGACGGCTTTGAATAGCATATTTCCTACCTCTAGTAACACAAATTTCACCGTTAAAAAAAAAACTGAGATTATTTCTAAACTATTTTTGGTGAATTTAACTTTCACTCCCTTTTCTTTTGTTACTAATTGTTGGCGTTTTAAGTTAATTTATTTTAAAAGATAATATTAATTTCTTTATTTTCTTATTAAGCGAAATGGATTAACTTGAATGCGTCGGTTATTATTTTCTTTAAGGAAGCAAAGGTTTACAACAAATTAAAGCAAAGGTTTTATCAAATCTTTTAATGTCAAAGGATAGATTTCTTCATTAGATGAAGTAGTAACATCCGGTGAGAAACTTTGTGAATATGTATATCCTACACTATAAATAGAACTCATGAGGAGTTCATTTCACATCTCATTCAAAACTCAAAACTTTTCTATAAGCCTAATTTCTCATTTTTTGAAACAACCCTCACAAGTAAATTTTCCTTTAGTCTTTCTCTTTACTTTCAAATAGTTTTACAAATATTGGATCTATATACTTGTTAGTTCCTGTGTCCTCTAAACTTAAAAGAGGAAGACTTGTTTTATCTTGGGGAAACATTTCATTATGCCGAAATAGTTTGTTTAGGACAGTGCAATTTTGCGTGACCCAAGTATTTATTTATATAGCATTTTTGGAGCATTACCCCAACAATCTAAAGAAACTATGGCTTCCAATAGTGCTATCCCATCCGAAGATGTTACTACTGGTGCTAACGCTGCTCAAGCATCCCAAACTCCAACAGTGACGGTGCCAATCTCAACCACTATTCCAATGGCACTACCTTTTGCCAAGCATTTTCCTGATGTCTCAAAAATTGAGGTCTTTGCCAATAAAAACTTCAAAAGATGGCAAGACCGCATCCACTCTATACTTGACATTCATGGAGTTGCCCACGCTCTTGTTGATCCACAACCTGATACAACAATTGATACTAAAACACTAGAACTATGACAACATGCAAACAAGATTGTCGACACACTATGTTGCAAACTATTTGCGATGAGTTGTTTGACGTGTATCGCAACTATGAGGATGCAAAGATAATTTGGGAGGTACTGATCAAAAAGTACACAGCGGAAGACATAACAAAGCAAAAGTTTGTGGTGGGTAAATTTTACAAGTGGCACATGTCTGAAGAAAAGAAGATGAAGGATCAAACTAATGAATACCAAAAATTACTTGAAGATTTGAAAGCTGAGGAGATTGTACTTCCGGAGAAGTTTGCTACGGGGGTGTTGATTGATACGTTACCCGACTCATGGAACAATTACAAAAACAGCCTGAAACACAAACACAAAACCTTCACTCTTGACGAACTCATCAGTCATATCTTGATTGAAGATACCAACCGAAAGGCAACCAATACTACCAAAGCCAAGGAGATGGCTCAGAAAGCTAACCTTGTTCAAGGTAAGAAAGGTAAGAATGGTAAACATGGGTATGAAAACAAACCCTTGAATATAACTGGTAATCCCAATTTTAAGAAAAAGAAAGGGAATTGTTTTGTTTG